GCAGCCACATGCACTGCCTCCTGGGCCGTGGAGGGAGCCCGGCTCTGCAGGCTGCGCTGTGCCGGGGGCAGAGAGGCAGACAGCCTGTCCTACTTTGGTCCGTGCTCTCTCCTAAGTCGGTCGTCAGCTGACAGGGTGAGCAGGAGGAGGGTCAGTGATGACCCAGCAATTCGGGACGCGGTCGTGCTGTGTCCCTGCTCTGGACCAGCTGCCACGCAGAAGCACGGGGACAGGCTCGCTGAGCAAACCCTTGGCCTGAAGCATCGGGAAAACGCATCCGTCCGCACATTTAGTGCTGAGGGCGCGTGGAGAGCACCGTCCGCACAGGTAACACTGAGGGCGCGTGGAGAGCACCGTCCGCACATGTAACACTGAGGGCGCGTGGAGAGCACCGTCCGCACATGTAACACTGAGGGCGTGTGGAGAGCACCGTCCGCACATGTAACACTGAGGGCGTGTGGAGAGCACCGTCCGCACATGTAACACTGAGGGCGCGTGGAGAGCACCGTCCGCACATGTAACACTGAGGGCGCGTGGAGAGCACCGTCCGCACATGTAACACTGAGGGCGTGTGGAGAGCACCGTCCGCACATGTAACACTGAGGGCGTGTGGAGAGCACCGTCCGCACATGTAACACTGAGGGCGCGTGGAGAGCACCGTCCGCACAGGTAACACTGAGGGCGTGTGGAGAGCACCAGCGCGATACCCTGACTTAACGTATTCACTGGGAGTGTCCAGGGGACGCCTTTATTCTCAGCAGCAGGTGTACTTAGGGGGGAGAAGGGTTCGTGTCTAAACTTTACTCAAATGGTCAGAAAGAGAAACATGGGGGGGTGCACACGCACTAATGTGGGAAAACGTTAGCAATTAAGAAACACCTTTGAAGTTATTTTGTGTGTATTTGGAGTTTTCTACTAAAAAGGTTGAGCTTCGTGTTCCTAACAAAGCAGTGAGGCAGGTGAGGGTGTCGCTCAGTGAGGCAAAACCACCTGGGCCCGTGCAGAGGACGCCAGCGTTCAAGCGACGGGAGTCGGGCACAGGGTCAGCGAGCAAATGCTTGAAACAGAAACCCTTGCTGAGCGGTGCGGGGCGCAGTGGGTCAGACTGGGCACGTCATGGTCACGGACACAGTCCCAGGCTGCCGCTCCGTCTCCAGGCGGTTACACGGACCAACACGGAGACAGATCCAGTCCCTTGGTTGTTTGTTTAACAAGTAGTTGTTGTTGTTGTTTTATATTTTATTTATTTTTTACACAGAGGAAGGGAGAGGGATAGAGAGTTAGAAACATCGACGAGAGAGAAACATCAATCAGCTGCCTCCTGCACACCCCGCTACTGGGGATGTGCCTGCAACCAAGGTACATGCCCTCAACTGGAATCGAACCTGGGACCCTTGAGTCCGCAGGCCGACGCTCCATCCACTGAGCCAAACCGGTCAGAGCTAACAAGTACTTTTTAAGCACAGACTCCACTAGCTGGGAAGTGGTTGGGCGGCTGCGATGGTAAATGCTCAGATTCAGGCCTGGGGTGGGAGGTGGCAGCATCGAATGCGGAGCCGTGGCTTCGCGTCCTGATGGAGTGGGTCTGCACGGGGGGTGAGACTCCCTGTGGCGGGAACTCCGGGACCCCTGGAGCCCGTGCAGCTGCCAGCCCATCACAGGCCTTTCCTAAGAGCCTGAAAGGGTCGATCGGGAAGCCAACTGGTCTCCCTCTGGCCCCAACCCTCAGAAGCAAAGCCCCAGGGAGAGAATGCGTGTGTTCATGGTGGCTGTGCCACGGGATGGGACTGGTCATTTTTTCCTTTATGCTTTTTTGTATCTCTCAAATGTTGGTGAAAACGTGCTGCTTTCACAGTGAAGGCGGCTGTAAAGATACACGCCCGTGGGTAAGATGCTTAGAGAAGTCACAGCATGTTTCCTGCGTGGCCGGGGCTGCTGCGCGCAGTGTGCCCGCACCTGCTGAGCGCTGCCAGGTCTGACCGTCCCGCCCGCTGTCTTTCAGAGACCGGACCCGGTGGCCATGAGGAAGCTGCAGGCCCCCGGGGAGACGGGTGTGCCCGTGTCCAGGAACGGCTTCCTGTCGGGCCTAAAGGCTCAGAATGGACACATTCCTCCAAAGCTGCCCTTGGGGTCCCCTTCCCCCCGACTCTCCAAAGCACCCACACCCCTGCCTACCATCCTGGATGAGCCTGGAAAGAAAGTCAAGAAGTCGGCCCCCCTGCAGCACCTCTCCCCGCCCCTCAAGACTTCTCCGGGGTCCCACGGGGCCAGCAGCAGGGGTGACAGCCACAGGCCAGGCTCCTGGGATGGCAGGGGCGCTGGCCTCTCTACCTCACCCAAGCTCGTGCCCACAGCAACCGTCAACGGGCACGAGCCTACGGGCATTGCCCCGGACAGGGCAGCCTCCAGCAGTTCCAGCCCCGAGCATTCAGGGAGCAGCGACCCCGCCCAGGGTCCCCCAACCCCCAGGAGCGGGGCCGCCCGCTTCTGTGACTCTCAGGGAAGGACCCCCACGGCCGGCCCGCCCAGGGCGCTGCTGAACGGCGAAGCCCCCACAGTGGTCAAGCCGCGGGCCCCCGCCCTGAGCAGTGTGGCCACTGAGCCCGCAAGCGCCATGTCTCCTCCACCCGCCAAGAGGCTGGCCCTTTGTGCCAAGAAGGTGGGTGTTGGGGTGTCGTGGTTGGGAGTGTCGGGCGGCTTGGTTGGGGGAGCGAGACCCTGGGCCTCCTGGGCTCTGCAGATCCGAGGGGCTGTCCTGGAATTGGGGTTCAGAGTACCCTGCTTTCCCACTGTCACTCCATGTGCTGACAGGGACTTGGGGCGATGCGGGTCTCCCTCTCTCAGGGGCGGAACCAGGATCCAGAGGGAGGACGGGGTGCTGGGCTCACGGTGCTCCGAGCACGGGGTGGCCGCGGGACACGGGACACGGGCGCTGGAGCCTCTGGGTGCAACGCAGAGCTCCGTGGTGGAATGGGCCTGCGTGGGCTTTTGTTGAAATTTCCTTCCTTTTTCCTTTTTGTTTCTAACCAAAAACACTTCTGATTCTTCTTCTATCACCCCCACCCCTCGCTGTCCCCCATCCTGCTTTCTGAACTCTTTCATTTGTTTTTTTGTATTTGTTTTTTTTTACATTTATTTTTCCTGTCACTCACCACAACTTTCTTAGACCACCAAGTTTTTATTTATGTCAATAACTGCAGGCCAGCCCCCTGCGGAGGGCCCCCGGCACTGACCGAGCGCCGCGCCCCCCGCCACTGTCCGACCTCACCCACCCCAGGAAAGCCACTCACCCCGCTGCCGCCTGCGCCCAGCCTGTGGGTGCCAGCAGGTCAGCGGGCCGGGCCCGGGGCGGCTGCTGTCTCCGTGTGCCCACGAGAACTGCGGTGGCTGCCACGGGAGGCCAGTGTGCACGTGGCAGGTCCTGAAGCGTGTGAGGTATTTACTGGGTAGTTTTCTTTGTGGTGAGGTGTAGACAGTCGGTGGGCATCGTAGCTTGCTCTGGTGGAGATGGTGACAGTGACTGTTTCTCTGGTGACCTCAGGCCGGCGTTCTGGTCGGTCATTTTCAGGTGGGGGTCTCAGTGTGGAGAGTTAACCCTTCCGGGTCCATAGCGAGCAGGCACAGGTCAGAGCCAACCCGACCTGCTCTAGACTCCATCCCTCATCCCCGCTCGTCCTGCTGGGAGGCCCCCTGGTGAAATCGGATTCCCTGATTCCCCTGAACCCCAGGTCCCAGAGGACACGGTCAGAGTGGAGGATGCAAAGGCCTGTCCGGGCCCCTCTTATGGCCCTTCTTGTGCCTGGACACCCCGAGGTTCCGGAGGGTGGGGATTGATTGTAGCTTTTACACATTTGTACCAAAAATGCAAAACATTGGACTGTGCAGACCCACATTGTACTGCTTGGTGATGAGAAAGAGAGACAATGACTTTTGTTAACCTTGATCTTAAGTAGGCCTGAATGTCATCGCTAGTCTGTCTTTTAACTTACACCCAGTTTTTTAAGCTGAGGTTCCTGGGGGAGGGGGCTGCTGAGGGTGGGCCTGGGTCTGAGAACAGCCATCTCACTGCCGTCTGTCCTCACAGGGCTGTGTCACCTGCTCCCGGATCATCCAGCATCCCAAAGCACCCCCACGCCGCCACCCTGCCCAGCAGCCCCCCGAACTCCGCCTGTGCTCCCCTGCCTCAGGTCAACGGGGGCTTTCGGGCCCCCCCACACCAGCCCGAGGCCAGCGAGCCCCTCCAGAGCCTTTGTAAGAAGAGGAAACGGAAGCGCCTGGGAGAGGCCCCGCGGCCGGGCTCAGAGGCTGGGGAGTCAGCGGCCGCTCCTGGAAAGAGGAGGAAGAGGAAGCGCCCCGAGAACACCGACACCGCCCGCCTGCAGGCGGGGCAGGTGCACGGCCAGCACAGGA